ATTGTGTGGGTTTTTTTCTGTTTTACACAAAATATGTTTACCGAGTAATATTGATACAATTTATTTTCTTTTATTTGCTTTCAGTTTGATGGACCTCCGCTAGCCTTTATTCAGCAATTCATTGTGAAAGCTGTTGTATCACCGTGGCAGTCAAATCTTATTCCCCCTGATGCTTTCCGTGCTCCACTATCCAAAGTATTTAAATTAGTTGATGAAATTAATAGCTATCAATACAATGAAAGGTAAAGCATTTCTGTGCATCAATTTGAAATGTGCACATTGCACTAACATAATTTTAATATTTGTAATCACAAGATTACTTTGTTGGAGGTAAATGTTTGTCAGTCTATCCTTACCTTACCTCGGACATGTCTGTTCTAATTACATTTAAAATTCATACATACATCAAACATCTTGGGAGACATACACACATATACATATATCAAATTAGTTGTATGATTCAATTCAATTGTATATGGCATCTGTATACACCTCATTTTGGTTTGCAGATAAGTTTTAGCAGCCATTTTGTTTGAATGAATGCTTGTTTCAGCGCAATATCTCTGAGATGCATTGACTAATTATGTTCAAACTTGACAGATGTAGGTCTTGATCAAAATAGTTGAATAAATGTGGAAAAAAAATAAAGTTGATTTTGGCATTCGAAAGTTCAAAAATTTATTTTCCACTACGAATATATTTTGGTATAAGAGTATGTATATTTAATGAGCACTTAATGTTATATTCTGTACCATTCAGCCTCACTGTCAGAAGTTTTTGCTACTACGTTGTTGAACCGTTACCTCATTACCAGTCAAGTTATGTGTTACCAAAACATGGCTGTTTAATGATATCACCATCACTGATATGGGAGAAAGGTGTAACACAGTTCCTAAACGATAAAGCACTTATAGAAAGTATTTACAAATTCCAAGGGAAAACCATTGAAACTTCACCCAATTTAAAAGGTAAGTAATAGTTTCATATAGGAGTCATGTTCTTTCCCCAAAAAACTAAAAATATTTGTGACTTCTTTTCTATGATAATAAAAAAACACCATTTCCAATGTAAATGTTATAAAAACTTTATTACTTCTGACAAAAATCCTGGAGAAATCCTGGTACTGTACATGATGTGTATCAATATGATATTTTTAATGATATGAAGATTCATCTGATATGAAACAAAAATGTAATAGATGTACCTGTGAAACTATGCCTCATATAAATTTGAGAACAATTAAACATGATTGCAAAATTTCATTCATTCATGACAGTTCTGGAAGGCATTTTCTTTAGCAAAACCAAAATTGTTGTCAAATAAGTTTGCCAAAATATTTGAGAGGTGCTGTGATTTGATATTCTGATCAAATATTCTGAAACACACATTGAATACAATATATTAGCTAAGACATTAATTGGGTCCATAATATTTACCAATATAATGTTTTACCAAAAGCAAAGTCCAGGAGGACAAATCACAATATAATCTGGGTAATTGATAGCATCACACTTTGTGTGCTTAGTGCAAAGAGAATAACAATGTGTCTGGTGCATGACCTTGTCATTGACATATACATTAACTTTAAAGCTTGGTACTAGATAATTGCTATGTTTATACAACAGCATTTTGTCAGAGCCCTGCAACTCAAGCCAGCAAAAATGGCCGTGTATACGTGTTCGGCTTTAGCCAAGTTTGGCTCCAATAAACGCTCGGGGTTGAACTCCGATAGGGCTGGGCTCCAACCGTGTCTATGCATTGGGGGGCCAACTATCGAGCCGGAATCACACCCTCAATCGTCTTCTTCAAATAACCTCTCATTTCATTATGGTGGAGACAACATCGTTTGTATTTCACATAATATCTGGCTTGGCAAAGAGGTACGCACCCTAATATCTATTTGGCAGAGTAAAGAAATACTGTGATAGATTGATAGAAACAGAAATGCCATTCGAAATTATGCGACAAAAACGTGAAAGGATGACTGAACAGATCCAATGGAAATTGAATAAACTTTTTAAAGACGCCGAAGATAAAAATCGTAGAAGCAATCATGGTGTTCCTACTACATGTAGGTTTAGGTTGACAACTGTTACACATATCACAACAGTTGAACAATTATAAGATGGTAATTTTGCATGACAATAACTTAATAGCTATACCGGTACACATTTAGCACATTTTAGCTGCTGTGTATTGTGTTTATTTGAGATGCATGTACATAAATTATCTCAGACTCATGACTGTTTCTTCTTTCTCCCAGCTCAACAGAATCATGCCACGTAAAGAGTAAAGAAACAACAACACAAGCACAACTCCAAAATCATTTTCAGTCATGTTGTTTTCATACTAAATATTTGACAGTGCTGTTCCATTCGACTCTGATCGAACTGAATTGAACTCGGCTCTCGATCGGCCCCTGACCGTGTAAACGTGTTGGAGATAATCTCCTGTTAATCGGTGGGAGGAGCATTAGTTTGGCTCCAATAGAATGCTGCTGTATGAACCTAGCAATTAGTTGTTCGCCCTATCAGCTATCAGCTTTTTAAATGCACCTCCTTCTGATTTCCATCTCCGATTTGGTATGACATCACAATTCGATACCAACACAATGATAAGAAGCAAAAGGTCAATAACATTTCATCAGCAAAGATTTAACATTTATTAGCTATCACATGACCATGTATCAGCCATCACATGACCATGTATCACCTCGCAGCTGTGTTGTGTGGGATATGATTGATTATACATTTTACGCTAACCTTAAATTTAAACCTCATAATTTAAACTCAATTTGTTTTGCATTTTTTTTTAGATTTATTGTTCGGTATACCTTGGAAATTTAGTGGGATTTCCAGATTTTATATGAGAAATAGACAGCGGGTAATATCTTATGCTGTCACCTTGGTGTTACAGTCCTATAATTCTAGGTATGTATCTTAAAAATCATCCTAAATTATTTCCACCTGTTGAATATTAAAATTTGTTACGGCACAGAGTTACAGAGGATATTAACCATATATAGATATTATGTGAAGGTCACTGTCGAAGAACTTCTCAATTATATTTCCATTTTAGCAGATAACATTGCAGACAAAAATAGAGGAATAATAATGACATTTTTTGCTATTAGGAGTCAGTAATTTCCTAAGAATGTGTGACCTCAAAAAGTAATGATCTAAGTCCACTAATTCCTTTACCTAGGATTGATTTACCCTTTCAGTATATATGAATTGAAGTTGATGTGTTATTGTTCACCTTTGTTTTCATTACAGTTTTATAGATGGTTTAAAATCACATATCAATACAAAATACCCGGGTAGTGTTCATAATAATAGTGATGAGGAACAAATAACACATGTATTTTTTCAGGTAAGTAGCAATGAGATTTCTGATAATGAAAGTTGTACATATGTATAGTTAACCCTTGCACTCTGACATCATTCATAAAGTTTAATTAGGATGCTGTGAGGAGTACATAAAGTATTAACTAAAATGTGTAGTAAGCATTCTGCTTTGACTTTTTATTATTTGCTTGAATTTCATTTGCAAATGCTTTTGAATGGTGCCCCATCAGACCGTTTATTAAATGTGCATCTCCAATAGAAGAGCATATAAAATAATCACATTTGTCAGTATCCCATTTCTGCAGAAAAAAAACATTAGTTCGAATAAACAATTCGGTTTCAGGAAAGGCTGCTGCACACTTGGAAAGTCTGGAAAGTAATAATTACGAAATATCTATATAATTATTGAGAAATACAACTCTAGACAAAAAAATGCAAGAAACCATACAAATTATAGCAAATTAAATGATATTTGTTAAACAGACCTGAAACAAAGCTGCAACTTGAGAATTATATTTGTTAAACAGACCTGAAACAAAGCTGCAACTTGAGAATTATATTTGTTAAACAGACCTGAAACAAAGCTGCAACTTGAGAATTATATTTGTTAAACAGACCTGAAACAAAGCTGCAACTTGAGAATTATATTTGTTAAACAGACCTGAAACAAAGCTGCAACTTGAGAATTATATTGTTAAACAGACCTGAAACAAAGCTGCAACTTGAGAATTATATTTGTTAAACAGACCTGAAACAAAGCTGCAACTTGAGAATTATATTTGTTAAACAGACCTGAAACAAAGCTGCAACTTGAACCCAACTCTCGTCTATCAATTTATTAAAGCTACAATAGCTGTAACTATTGACTTTTTTTCCTCCAAATTTTGTTTTTAATAAAATATTTCGTGTGTCATTAGTGTCAATTTGTAACAGCCATTGCCTGAATGTGGACACTGAAAACTTAACATATTCACTATGTACTGATGTCACGTTACCCATTAAATCACTTACAAAAAAAAGGGAGCAGTAGGGTTGCATTCAGGTCTTCACAGGGTTTGCCATCTATTGGAATCTAATTTTTAGTACAAAATAACAACATACCGAGGGCCCTGGACATAATGTCAAATACAATGCCGTAATGAGAGGTTAAGCCTCTCCCTGACAGTTTCTAATAATTAGGGTTTCGAGCCCTAATTGCTTTGCCTATTATTATTATTATTTTTCCACCGTTTTTTGTAACCACTGTAACTTGAAAAATAATGCTGCGATTGATTTGCTATTTTGCATGCTGATAAAGGGCCATGAGTTGTGGTGCATACCCCAAAACCAGCCATGTAGGTCACATGACCTGAACGCCATCTTAGGTAGAATACAAACCGGAAGTGCTCAATTGCACCACTTTCTGGGGTCTAGGAGCTTCGCTTTTTTTTGTATGGCATCATTGGCTCATGTGTAGCAAATATCATAAATACAATCTTTAGCGGTCATGTGACATTGGCCGCCATATTGGATTTACTGAAAATGACAAAAAAACTTTAAAAATCTTCTTAAAAATGACTCATTCATGTGATTAGAAATTTACTTTGCAACACCTATGGCAATAGCTCTACAAAAATTATCTTCTTAAAAACTGCTTGTTTGTTCGACAAGCAATTTAGAATATGGCACCTACGTTGATTGCTCTGCAAAGTTACTGAAGCAGATTTTTGAAAAATGGCTTCCTTTGGCAGCCATCTTGGATTTAGTAAAAAGTGAAATTACGCTATAACTCATGAACAATTTGCCAGATTGAAACCAATGCTGGCATACAACATCCCTTCAATAAGACGATTATGTGTTCATGAAAATATTTCCCATGATTCAAGTGGTTTTGGCGGCCATCTTGAATTTATCCAAAAAATGCAAAAAACCTCAAAAAATTATCTTCTTAAAAGCTACTTTTTTGTTTGACCAGCAATTTTTAATATGGCACCTATGTTGATAGCTATACAAAGTTACTGGAGAAGATTTTTGGAAAATGGCTTTCTTTGGAAGCCATCTTAGATTTAGTAAAAAGTGAAATTATGCTATAACTCATGAACAATTTGCCAGATTTAAACCAAAGTTGGCATACAACATCCGTTCAATAAGATGAGTATGTGTTCATGAAAATATTCCTCATGATTCAAATGGTTTTGGCGGCCATTTTGAATTTATCAC